AAAAAAAAAAAGAAATGAGTATTTATCTGTCTTGGTTATTTTTTCTCATTGCTGGGTCAAAATACCTGACACCTAAAATTAAAAGAGGAAAGGTTTATTTAGCTCAGAGTTTCAGTCCATGGGGCTGGCTCCGTGGCAGAGGGCAGCAGTTTCCACATCACAGCAGCACAAAGCAGGGGCAGGAGAGCTTACGCTGCCCTCAGGCTCTCGGCCAGGACGGTGCAGCGCTCGCCTCGGGGCATGAGTTAGTCACAAGCTCCCGAACTGAGCCCTGAGCCCCAGTGACTGCGTGAGGCTTCGGGGGGCACCTACACACAAACCCTGACCTTTAGTTTCGGAAGGTTTTTTTTTCCTTTCCTTTTTTTTTTTTTTTTGGCAGAACTGGGGATTGAACTCAGGCTCCTGTGCTTGCCAGGCAAGCGCTTATTCTACTGAGCTATCTCCCCAGCCCCTGCAAAGTCTTGATGTGTTCTAAATGTTACTTCAACAGTTAGAAAAGTGTTCAGAGCCAAAGTTCCAGGCCTCTTTGTTGAGAAGGGAGTCAAAGCCAAAGCAAGCTCTTTTCTGTTTCTCTTTTCTGTACCATTGTTATAATTGGCCACGTCAGCCGGGTTGTCCCAGGGTTCTCATGCTCTCCATGGCTTTGTCCCTAGTAGGGTGGCACGTCCTGCGAAGCTCCAGGGACAGTGCCTTTGCTCCTCTCAGTTTGGCGATAGCATCTGTTGGTTCACAAGTCAGAGAAGATGATGGTGTTGTCAGCAGTGGTGACACAAAAATAGAATCATAATTTTCACCGTTCTCCACCCTTTCAGGAAATTAAAACTGAGGATTAAGCTGTACAGAGCAGCGCACTCCTGTTATCCAGGCACTTGGGAGGCCGAGGCAGGAGGATCGCTGAGTCTGAAGCCAGCCTGGGCTGCAGAGCAAGAGCTGGTGTCAGAAAAGTTATGGCGGAGGGTATGCTGTTAGGTGGAAGTCTGATGGTTTGCTCGTATTGGACCCAGGTCATTCTGCAAGTCACACCCTTGTAAGCTGTCTGACAATGAACGTGTGGTTAAACTTTTGCATTCTATCTTTAGACTGCACTTCTTTTTTTTTTTAATTTTGCTTTTTGAGACAGGCTGTCGCTCTAGCTCAGGCCTCTAACTCACAGCAGTCCTCCGCCTGAGCCTCCCAAGTGCTGGGATGACAGGCAGGCACCACCACACCTGGCCTTAGGCTGCAATTCTGAAACAAGAACTGTAGACTGAAGGCGAAAACAGGGTGTTCAGGGCCTCACTACTAGTTTGGACTCGCTGTTTACAGCCTCCCAAGTGCTGGGATTACAGGGACGCGTCATCAGCCCAGTCTGGCTTAGCGTGCCCTGGGGTCGGGACCGGGCCAGCATGGCAAAGCAGGCCCAGGATCGAACCCCTGGCCCCTGCATCTGCTTGCAGGCACTTTCATCTGCTAAACTATTTGGCCGGCCCTCCCATTCCTCCTTTTATCCTCACTTCCTGCTTCTTTTTCATCCTCAACAGAGATAGTGCCTGGTCATCGCAGAGTCCCATCAGGTGAACCTGTCCTGTGTCCCTCTGACCTGGGATCTGGAGACGACCTCTTCTTGGATGACCCTGTACATGAGGCCCCTAGAGCCGGAAACCCAGGGCCAGCTCCCACTTACAGAGTGCGGGCGTCAGCCTCAGTGTTGAAAGCATCCCAGGTCCAAGTTTCACAGCGTGCCTGGAGTCCAGCTGCTGCGCAGACTTCTGACCCTGCCCGTGGAGGTTCGAGCAGGGAGGAGCCAGCCCGCAGGAGAGTGTCTGTGGTGGTGTCTGGCCTGACCGCCAAGGAGTCGGTGAGTCGCATGCAGCTCTGCAGTGGCCAGATCTCCTCCTGCTATAGACAGTTGCCTGGAGATACCCATGACAGGTGGCCTATAACGAGAAACCTGGGAAACCCTCATTGCCTTTCATTTCCATTCATAATTTCTGAAAATTTGTGCTCGCTTCGGCAGCACATATACATAATTTCTGAAAATTTGCCTCTAAATAAAGCTTAATGGTTTTTTTGTTTTGTTTTGGTTTTTTGCGGAACTGGGGATTGAACTCAGGCCCTTGCGCTTGCCAGGGAAGCGCTTATTCCACTGAGCCATCTCCCCGGCCCCCTTAATGGGTTTTTGAAAAATGCATTTGCTGGGGCCGGGGAGATGGCTCAGTAGAATAAGCACTTGCCTGGCAAGCATGAGGACCTGAGTTCAAT